TGAAAATAGATCGCCCTGGGACTGGAGAAGCTAATGAAGATGATAATTAGAATTGCTTATTAAGACCTGTCGTCTAAAGTTCATTTGTGCTTTTAATAGAATCTACAACACATCTGCTTAGCAAGGATGACAGATCTTCCCGATTCCATGTATTTTAAAACAAAATCTTTGCATCCCGGCTTCTCCTGGTCTCCCTCCTCCCCCATCTCTGCCATCTGCTGCTGTGTGGCCTTCCCCTGATGTAGGAGCTTGCAAGTTGCAACCAACAAATACCCTTCCTCTTGCCAGGGACCCCCTCAAGCCAGAGAGATAGATAGATGTCTGATCTCTCTCTGAATAATCTCTTCGAAAACCACCTTCCCCCATCCTCTCAAGCCATCTGAACAGTGTCCCCCCAAATTCATGTCTGCTTGGAACCTCTGAATGGGACCTTACTCGGAAATAGGACCTTTGCCATTGTAACTAGTCAACTTACGATGGGGTCTTAGTGTATTAGGGTGGCCCTAGTCCAAGGGCTGATGTCCTCAAAGGAAGGCAGTGTGAGGATACATGGGAAAAGGCCAAGCAACTTCAGAGGCACAGACTGGACGATGCGCCCACAAGCCAAGGAATGCCAAGGTTTACGGCAGTTACCACAAACTGGAAGGGCCAGGAAGGATTCTCCCTAGGCCTTCAGAAGGAGCATGGTCCTACAGACAACTTGATTTCAGACTTCTGGCCTCCAGAGAATAGACTTCTGTTGTTCTAAGCAACCCACCAGTAGAACTGTATTACAACAGCCCTGGGAGACCTTCAGCTTCTCCAACTTACCCAGCAGCCTTCCACTTTCATGTCCTTGCATGTGCTGTTCCTTCTGCCCGACTCTCTTCCAGCTTCCTCTCCCACCCCCTCATCAGCTCTTCCCCTGTCCCATCCCACATCACCTTCCAGTCCTTACTTAAGATCGTGGGCTAGTGCTCACTTCAACAGCACATATACTAGAATTGCAGCAATGCAGAGGAGATGAGCATGGCCCCTATGGAAGGATGACACGCAAATTCATAGTGTTCCGTATTTTCATGTATCTCAAAAGAAAGCAAGCTGAAAGAAGGGAAAAAAAAGTAGTGGAGTAAAATTTAGCAGTACACATTATAATGTTGTGTTCTTGGTTGAAAATAATTAATATGGTAATATTCTTGATTTAACTATCACCCACTGCATGCATGCTTTGAAAAATCCCTATTATATGCCACACAGATGTACAGCAATTAAACGTGAATAAGAAATTATAAAATAAGGGGAAAGTCTCAGGCTAGATACGATGCCCTCTAGAATACTCCAGACTATGGGGTCTGCCCCTGCTGAATGCCCCCTGCCCTGTACACGCTCCCAGTGCCCATCACACTTTTTCGCAGCTGGGTGTGTATGTGTCCGTTCTTGCCACTAGACTAGAGGTTTGGTGAAGGCAGTGCCATGCGGGTCTTATCCGCTGGGATATCCCTGGGGGCCTGGCATTTGGCAGGACAGAGGCGGTATTTGTGTGGTGGGAGTTGAATGACCTGATTGAGTCGATTGTCCTGGCTGCTGCAAGCCAGGCTGCATGCTCCTCTCCGCCGCCATGCACGTGGGAGATGAGAAGCAGCCTTCATCCCTGACTCTATGTGTTCCCATTCAACTACAGGCCCTGCCCAGTGGCAGTTGCAAATCCTCGCGAATGACCCTGGACACCTCCATGGGGTGAGGGCCTTGTGCGTTTTGGGCACTCTGAACCCTCTCACTTCTCCTTTGAGAGCACTTTGAACATAGACGATTACTTTAATGAATGGTCATATTTAAAGTAGATGACCTAAAGCCCCTGCCTAAGTCCCAGAAGGTTCTGGTCAAGACCTATGCCCATCTAATCATCCTGCTGTCCCTAGAGCCTGGCATGGAGTTGACATTCAAAAATGTGTTGAAGGACAATATAACACACTCGATTCTAAAGTTGCTAAGCCTGGAAAAATCCAAAGGTCCTTCCAGCCCTTGCAACACCTTAGTCAAGGCCTGACTCCATGAGCATCTGGACACCACAAGCTCCAGGCAGGGAATTCTCACTGTCCTGGGCTGTGAAGAGGATCCCGGTCTGTGAACAGCTCTTGTGATTGGTGTGTTGAAGAATGCCTTTTTATATTTCATAATAGAAAAAGTGTATCCAAAAAGACAGAATGAAAGCAGGACACTGAGTAAAGCTCGCCTCTCCCCCATCTCACAGTGGACTCTGACCTTGCAATGCCCTTCTCTCAAAGCCCAAGTGCAAGCTGGTTCTGTCCAGCTTCCTCTGCTACAATGTATGGCCCCACCAGGGCCTTCCATATTCAGGGAGCCAGCTAGGTTCAGGCCCTGATCCATGGAGCATGGAAACCCCCCTCAGAACCCTTGCCTCCTACCCCCTCCTCCTGTGCCTTGAAGGGTTGCTGTTCTGTGAGATCAGCAAGAGTGGGGAGACAGTTCACACCCAGGCAACGAGTGGGCTGAGGGGGAAGGGGAGACAAAAGCTGCACTTGACTTAGGCCAGGGGACCAAAATAGACATCTGGAGAGCATGCAATTCCCACAGGACCCTAATCCAGCCATGGTACTGACAGCAGAGTCACTGTTGGGTCCAGGGGTTCAGGGGCGTCTGTCCTCCTCCTGGGCTCCTGGCAAGGCCGGCTCTCCTACGTCTTTGTGCCTGCCTTGCCAGAAGAGGAATGGTCACTGGCTTCCATCTTACAAAGACGTTGAGAGGATGAGTGACATAGCACGTGATCATTCAACACATGCTGAGTGCTATATGGTTAATGACAACAGCAGTCACCCTACCAAGTGCCTTAGCTAGGACTTTGACTGCCATGCGATCCTCACTTGGGGTCTTGAAGTCCCCCTGCCCCAGAGCATGGAGACATGGGGTGGGCAGCAGGCAGACCAGCCAGGGGGCCCCTGGTCCAGGAGGGTTCATCCTGGCTCTGTGCCCCAGCTTTTCCATGCTGAGTCTTTGACATCTATAAGACCCTGGACTGTGCTCAGGGTGGAGGGTGACAGAGACACCATCTCACCATGGGAGGGACAGGAGCAGCTAGAGGTGACTTCACATAAGCACAGCCAGCCTCTCAGAGCACCTGCTCTTCCACCCCTGGAATACAGCTGGCCTCACTGCCACCACTGTGTGCTGCCACATCCACTGGGCACTTGGCGGGGCCAGGCTCTGGGCTTCCTAACACCTTCCCTGCGTGGGGGCCATTTTACAAATGAGGAAACCGAGGCTCAGAGAGTGGAAACGACTCATCCTAGACCATACACAACAGACCTGGGATTTGAACTCAGGATTATGGACCCCAGAGGCTGAATTCTTAACCACTTGTTGGGCATTCTCGAAATGAATACCTAACTAGTGTCACTTCCCAACTTGGTGGGCTGGAGTCATGGAGACCTAGAATGTCTGGGCAGAATTGGATTTGGAGGACCCCCTTGTCCTTCCAGGAATGGGGCCAAGATACGAGCATTGAATTGGGCAGCCTCTGGGTCTGCCAAGTGTCTCTCTTCTGTTCTTCCATCTCCCTCCCCAGGGCCGCAGGGTTACTATTGGTGTGAGAGAGGTCGAGCAGGAAGCCGATGCCCTTCCACAGTCCCTGCAAGCATCTTGGGATGTGTTTGTAGTAGAAACACAAATCTTCTGTTTTTTTTGTTTTTTTTGTTTTTGTTTTTGTTTTTTTAACTTCATGTATTTATTTATTTTCATTAAAGAGAGAGAAAGCATCCCAAACAGGGTCTTCATGCTGCGACCTACCCCTGGGCTATGCTGAGGAAGGTTCTGCAAACCCAGGACCTCCCCCCATAGGTCCAATTGCATAACCACCACACAACCCCCTGGGCCCGGGAATACCACTCTTGCCGAAGTGCGGCTGCTGGATCCTGGTTCAAATCCTGCTCAGGATCAAAGCACTGTTCTCTTAGTATGCCAACTCCCCCCCCCCCCCCCCCATATATACCCATATATTTACCCACTCCCTGCCAGTCTTGACCTTTCCGATCTGTTTCTTTAAATCTCCATGTGGCTTTTGGCCAGTCCCAGGCTTTTCCAGGCCCTGAGCTTTTTTGTCACCTCTCAGGGTGAGCGCATGACCTTTCATTGCCTTCCCCACGTGAGCACCACTTGGGAGCATGCTCTGGACTCTTTATGGAAGCTCGACGCGGGGGCCTGCGTGGATATATTCAGCCCCGCGCAGCTCTAATTACAGGCTGCTTGCTGGAGACGAGTCATTTTGTGAGTCATTAGGATGTGTGGCTGGGGCTTTATAATATCTTTTGACGAGTTCTGTAATTTTTATATCTTCACCTACGGTAGCATTTTCAGTGAAGCAGAAAACGACAGGAGGGGTGGTGGATGTCACAGCCCCTAGACCGTTTCCAGCTCAGTATTAAAAGGGTCTTCTCCTTCGCATTCTGAGGAGAGAAGTATTGATCCTGATTGGGTTGGAGGGGTTGAAAGCAGGCATGTGTCTCCATCTCTTGCTAATCAATATTCCAAAGCGCTGGTTGCGAGTAATGTTTGAGTACTTGCTTCTGTTCTTCGTGTTGGCAAATTGCAGGCTTTCAGGTGACGCTCTGTTCATTTTGCAGTGACTGCGAGGTGCAGGTTTAATTAGCGCACAGACCTGCTGGAAAAATCCAGTGTTATTAAGAGCCTCGTTTCCTGCGGCGGCTGCTGGGTTGAACCAGCCTCCTGCCCTCGGCCACTTCCTTCCAGCAACCACCCAACACCCACTCCTGCATTACTTCGCCATTAATCCCAAGGTATCCACAGAAGAGTGAGAGAGAAGGAAGAGAAATCACATGGGAGAGGGGAAGTTCGGATTTTTCCCACTGAGATGAAGACACAGGGTGCCATCTCTGTGAAAAATTCCAGATCCCTCCAGTTTTGGAATCCTTTGATTTTGATCCTCAGACAACTGCCAGACGTATTATTTAAGGGTGAGGCCCAAGGGCCTAATCTGGGAAAATTTTGACCCTTTTTCTAAAAAGCAAAAGATCACAGGCATTGGCATTAAGGCAGATTAAAGGTTGAGCCCCAGCTCTGCTCCTTCCTTGCTGTGTGACCGTGATGAAATGTCTTAACCCCTCTGGTCCCCATTCTCCTTATCTGTTAGGTGGGGCTAGTGGCAGTGACTCCTTAGCTCTTATGTGCTTAGTGAGATAAAATATAGAGAGAGCTTCACTTTTGGTACAGCGAGTGGCCTGTAGTTTACTCTTCTTTTTTTTTTTTTTAAGGATTATTTATTTATATATTATATTTTGATTTGATGAGAGAGAAAGAGGAAAAGCAAGAAAGCAAGCTGCCAGGTCTAAGACTTGAACTGTGGTCAGCTATGTGGGAGTCCAGC